TGATGGTAATAACTCGATAAATTGTCTGGCAAAAATCTTTATACCCCCGACATTAAATGGCATATAGTATTACCCTGTTTCGTCATTCCGTCTTCCAGTCATTCCGTCATCATAAGTTTCCGTTCATTATCTTGGCAAGACATGCAACTCAAAATTGACATATGAATAAATCATAAGAAAAGGCTGGTCATATTTGCTCATGGTCTGATAACTTTTAACAGTTATGCCTCTTGAAGAAAGTTTCTGTTTCCGTTCATTATCTCCCCAACAGATATGAATACGTGATGGAAAAAAGTTAAAATTTGGTCATGGTTGGATGATTTCTGGCAGAGTTCTGCCCCTTGAACTTTGGAAAACAAATAAGAAATTGTTCGTACATTATCTTCCCAACAGTTGTGTATATTCATCTCAAACTTGACATATGGATACGTCAAAAGAATGCGTAGGTCAAATTCGAATTTGGTTCGATGAGTTTTGCCAGAAATATGCCCCTTGAACTTTGAAATAACAAAAAAGTACTTGATTATGAAAGATATAAAAATGAATGAACAAAAAAAAGAAGAAATACGCAATTTTTTAATAATTTATTAGAAGGGTTATAACAACTTTATTCTGTTGTCATGAACAAAACTCCAAGAGTGTCTGGGAATCACAAGTCCTATACTTATACCACCTAGCTTTAGTAATAAATGACCAATTTTATGGCCAGCCTAACAAAGCTGTATATAGCAATGAATTGATACTTTATTAAGTTGTTATTTTGTCTGTTGGGCCAGCCTAACAATTTAAATTTTAATATTTGTTATTCCTGATGTAAGCTGTAGTTTTGATTGACTGTGATTTCTAAAGTTTTGTAAGGGCACCCTAACACATTTGTTTGAGTTTGTGAATGTTTATAAATATATCGGGTCAAAAGTGTGTTAGGTCAGCATTACGCGATAAATTGGGCCAGCCTAACAAAGCTGTATGAAGCAATGAAGTGATATTTTTATTAACTTGTGTTTTTATCTGTTGGGCCAGCCTAACAGTTTAAATTATAAGATATCATCAAACAAACAATTACTTTGAGATAGTTTTGAATGACTGATGTCTTAAATTTTGTTAGGCCAGCCCAACACATTTGTATATTTTAATATTTGTTATTCCTGATGTAAGCTGTAGTTTTGATTGACTGTGATTTCTAAAGTTTTGTAAGGGCAGCCTAACACATTTGTTTAAGTTTCTGAATGTTCTTAAATATATCTGGTCAAAAGTGTGTTAGGCCAGCCTAACACGATAAACTGGTTGAACAATTTTTGATTGGAACCCTTTCAGAAGTTTGTTGGGTCAGCTAACAAAGCTGTATATAGCAATGAAGTGATATTTTTATTAACTTGTTTTTGTCTGTTTGGCCAGCCTAACAGTTTAACAATTATTTTGAGATAGTTTTGAATGACTGATTTCTTTGTGTTAGGCCAGCTTAACGCATTTGTATATTTTGTAATTTTTTTTATAAATGTTTAATATTTGTTATTCCTGATGTAAGATGTAGTTTTGAATGACTGTGATTTCTAAAGTTTTGTTGGGCCAGCCTAACATATAGTTGCTGAATGTTTATTTATCTATATTTGTTATTCCTGATGAAATCTGGTCAAAACTTTGTTAGGTCGGCCCAACAATGAAAGCTGTATATATTTACTTAAATGCTATTTAAATAAAAGTACCTTACATTTTAGCTTGTTGTTTCCTTGTTTGTCAACACTTATGTGAAAATTAGGGCGTATATTTGCATAGTAAATTTAGCAAAAACAGCATTTTATTTGGGATTTTGTGTACATTCCCTTTTGATAATGTATTCTGTTCAAAGATCTTTACAAACAATTTCGCAAAACAATTGCCAAACACGGTGTTTTAAAAACTTTAAGCATCGATGCATAGAACGACCTGAAAAGCTTAAGATTAAATAAGCCTTGAACTTAGAATAAAAAATTTTTTTTGTGCAAACAAATTTAAAACTAAATGTTATTTATAAAAGCATTTGAAATGTTGGCTGCATGCGGGGGCAATCGTTGCGTTACGACATATTTCTAGTTTTATCAATACGCAATATTATTAATAAATGGATGAGTCAGAAAGAAATTTTAATGACATACAGTTTGGCTTCAGAGATTCAAGATTAACCTCTTGCTTTTTAATTCTTCAATCCTTGATATCAACTGAAGAAAAATTCTAATGTATTTCCACTGATTAACACACGGTACTAGGAAGTGCGTTTTGGATGCAACTGTTTAATACTTATATTATTGGTAAAACTTAATAATTTATGTAAAAAGCGGTTTTTCGTCTGTAGTGTCTTGTGTAAGAATGAATTATTCTATGAATAATTCAGACGTGTTCGACATAACTCTTGCATTAATGAAAGGAGAGCCATTATCTCCCCTTATCACTACCTCTGGTTTATCTTTTTTATGAATAGAATCTAAATATGTATTGATCTTAACAAACTGTCGACCAGTCCCAGCAGTAACCTTGAACTGTTATTTAAATATGGGTCACTGTTTTCAGAGACTATACTTATATAAAGATATTGATAATATCCAGTATGTACTTGGTTAAAAAAAACAACAACACATTCTTAGTTTTTCAGTTAATAAAGAACTTGTTAAATACAGCGTGCGCTTAAACCAGTCACGTAAACAGCAGTTAAATGCAACGACGGCAGCAATACTTCTATATAACATAACATAACATAACATAACATAAATTTTATTTAACATAAAATTGTAAACATACAATTTATAGTCAAATCATATTCTGTATAGTGTAAAGTGTTACAAGTTACAATTAGCCGAGAAGTATTGTTAACCAAACAGTATGAACAAATGTTATGATATATGTAACAGAGTTTGCATAAGAAACACTTATACATGTAAGAAACAAATGTACTTAAATAAAGAAGAAAAAAGAAAAATTGTTAACGTTGCCGAGAAGTATTGTTGACAAATATAAACAAAGGTTACGACATAATTGCATAAAAGATACTTATGCATGTACACAGTAGAACGAGATTTGTTCACGTGCCGAGAATTATTGGTGACAAGTATAAACATAAATACATTTAAATATGTAAGAAGCTAAGTAAAAAGATATTTGTTAACGTTATATCATATCAATATCCACAAATCAAACGGCAATTATAATATTTCTAAGATGACATAACCGTTGTATATGTACTAATCATTTATTGTCGTAGTTATCTCCCATTTACTTGTAATCATAAGAAACAAAGTATCGGATATTAAAATCTTAAGTTATGTCCTCTCTTTAAATGCGTAATACAGATAACTTGCCAGATTATTAATTGTTTTGATATTTGTGCTTGTCATTAGTGTTTCGAATTTCTGCATTGAAGGCCATCTACAAAAATATGGTTTAAAAAACTTTCTACGTAAATTGTAATATTTCGGGCATATTAATAAAAAATGATATTCTGTCTCTACTAAATTTAATGAACAATTTCGACATTTTCTGTTTTCTCTTGGAATATATTCGTGCCTTCCTTTTTCTATTTCGAGATTATGAGCTGATAGTCTAAATTTGGTTAAAATAATCCTATGGCTATCTTTGTTTATAACGCTTAAATACTTTTCGCACTGAAATTCGTGTTTAAAATGACTGTAACACGAAAGTCTGTTAGAATTATTAATACTTGAATACCAATTTTGTTTGTAGATATCTAAAATTCTTTGCTTTATGACACATACATTTATATTTAAATTATCTTGTTGTAGCCAAAAGTAAGACATTCCTCTTTGGTTCAGTATATTTTTTATTTGATAAGCCCAGTTTTTTTCCCTGTATGATAGCTCATTATCTGCATCTTCTTTTAACATGTTATACATCTATTTAAGAATTGAGTTATCAGGTGCCTTAAGTATTTTAATCCAGTATTTTAACATTATGATTTTACGGTATATTGCCATTGGATATCTCCCTATTTCTCCATATAATGCATCTAGATTTGTTGATTTACGGACACAAAGGATCTTTCGAATAAATTTACAATGTACAAGTTCTATATTTTTACAATCATAGTATCCAAACACTTCTGCGCTATAATTTAAGACGGATCCAACTAATGTATCAAACAGTTTACATTTATCTTGAATCTTTAGATCAAGTTGGTTAAATACTGTAAAAAGGTTATGCATAGAAAATGATGAATGTTGAGCAAGATGCTTTTGTGTCCGATTCCAATGTCCATTTTTAAAGAAATAAACGCCTAAATATTTAAAGCTTTTAACAATTTCTAAGGTCTGACCGTTGAAAATGAAATTAAACGTTGAATGTCTACCATGTTCAAATATCATTATTTTAGTTTTAGATGTGTTAACTTTTAGATTCCATGTTTGGCAGTATAAATTCAAATATGTATATACATATGGTGGTGTTGGTAGTATTCATTCCAAATCACGGCAGTAAGCCACATTGGATTTACCAGAGCAGAGTTTAGCCACCGCATCGTTTCTGGGCAGGCTGTCAAGCATTTTACCATTACTAGTTGCCTTCACTTTCGCAAGGAACTGATTATTTCTCTACATACTAAAGCAGAGGTACAGTGCGAATGACTGCAGAAGATTTCATGATCAATCAGAACGAAAGTGACCTGCACCGTCCGGGAATCGAATTCGGGTCGCCCGATTAACAGTCCAATGCTCTATCTATTGAGCTAATCCGGCGGTTACTATATATATGTACATCGAGGGTTTGTATAAAAAGACGATGAGTATTTGTCTGACTACAATATTCGGGTAAAGCTAAGGTTATGCTTTTAAAGAAGCCTGCTTACAAACTGTCTGGCATGTTAAAGCTAACAAAACACATTCGAGGAAATAGGACAATTTGCGAAATAAGTCAAAACACAACATTTTCTTGTCAATTTAAGCTATGATTGATTAACATTACATAACTTTGTCATTTAACATTTTAAACCATGACTATCGAAATGCTTTTCTTTCTAAGAGATAATATGTTTAAGTTGTCGTGTCTTCGTTACGTCAGAAATTTTAGAATTATAACGACAACAGATCGCAACAAGCATGGATAACATGAAAAACAGAAACAAAACATTTTGTTTGGTTCTTGCGCAACAAAAACTACAAAAGTAATAATTATTTTATTTATAATATTTATAATATACACACGTTATTTTATGGAATTTTCGTTTTTAAATAGAAACTTTAATTCATAATGAATATTTTCTTCATTGAATCTATTTTCTTACATTATGTTAAAGAAAAATAATACTTGAACGTTGGAGAACGAACTATAATTCATGAACTAATTTTTGTTAAGTTGTTAAAGTGTATAAAGCTGTGTTTAATGTAATATTATAATAAAATTTAAAAGCGGAAAGATTATGTTGTGTCCATAATATGTATCATAGTCCATTATCATGGAATTATTTCTACTATTTAACACACTCAAACAGGAACATGTGTAATTTTCTCAAACTGAAGCAAACCTATCATATTTCATATATACTCGCATTTTGGGATTGCTATTTTCAAACAAAAAATTGTAAACCACAAGTAGCTGATATATATAGCTTTATACGCATGACAAATCTTTTACATTTTTAAATAACCTATGTAAACTAGTGATAGCTGGGGTGTTTAAGAGCAATTTATGATATTTGAATGAACATGACACTCGTGTATAAAATACGATACATGTCTTTTCCATTTTAACTTCCGTATTAAATTTTTGAATCGGAATGTAAGCAAACAAGTGAACAAATATGGACGTTTTATTTTATTTCACTATTGTGACAATCATTGCTATTTTAGGTAGGTACATATTTATTATTTTTTATTTTCCATATGACTGAATTGTCTAATTTCATTTATTGCTATTTTAGGGGCTTTGTAGCGGGTTTTACTAATGTTAAAGATATACTATGCTCGTCCTTGAGTTAAAATCTATTTTTTTTAGATTTATAAAAATCTTATTTTATATGTCTCATTTAAAAATAAGAACAATTGAACTACGTATTGGAAGTCGCGTTTGTTTTTACAGGACAATTAAAGTTGTTTGTTGTTTTGTTTTTGTTATTTAAAAAAATGCGACTTTTTTAAATGACACTTGGTATTCATATTATGACCACCTAAATCGTGGTGAGTTTAAAACATGACATGTGTGAAGTCAAAACATGATAATTTTATATTAACAAAGAGACTGTATAGCAATTTTCAATATTTTAAAAAATCAAATTTGAGCATAGTATATCTTTCAGAGTATACCAGTGGTTTACAAGATTGCTAGTCTTAGAATATTTAATAAAAAAAGTTGTGACAGGTAAATTTTAAGTGTTAAAGAATTTCTACCGTTACGGATGAAGGAACGTCAAATAGTAATAGATCTAAAATGAAATTTCAGATAAATGAATTACCGCGTATATAGTTGAAAAACATCATACTCTTGTCTATAAAAGAGGCTTGTTAAATATCATAAATATGTCAACCTTTGAGTGGAGTGAAGTTTATTCAAGCTATAAACAAAATGAATCTTTCTTATCCAGAAGCAGGTATTCAGGTGAAGGCTAACGATTGTACCACGGATGCCCCAAATGGTAAGTATACACTCATTATACACTGTTTAAAAAGGCCATAGACAGTATACCACTTATCCCTAACACAGAGACTTTCGATTCTTGCGTGTGAGGAAGCTATTCAGCTTGTTTGCAGAACATCGGTGGTTCTACGCGGGTGCCCGTTCGTGCCTATAATAATGCACGTAGGGACATATAAGTCTCCCTTTACGAGTAAAATTAGAAAATCGGAATATGACCTTTAGTGTGTTGATATGACCTTAAACTCTAAAGACAAGAAAAATTAATGTATAGCAGATACAGTTGTAAGAAAAAGATGTCAATAACCTTTAATTATTCAATGTTTATAATATTTTATATGTTTATAAAACAACTAGGAGTGTAACAGGAACTATGACATGAATTTTTAAGGATATTTAATTATCAAATGGTAGAGCTCTATTTTACATACTAACCCTATAAAAGTTAAAATTTCCTTAATTGATTATTCGGATACGATTTTAATGCTCATTGTCACTGTTACCACGATTCTTGTTCTACTGACTCAAAACATATCATTATGAATATAAAGTTATAGGGTTTCGGACTTAATGCTTTTAAATTCAATTATTAATGCAATATGATTAAATTCTATTCTGCAATAAGTCTATTGTTGATTCAAAATGTTTCAATTTATACATTTGACTTTGCGATTACCTTCATTTTAGCTCATTTAAGCATGCTTTGCCTTACATTTTGTTTCGAATAAGGTTAAACTGTTGAAAATGTGTCAAATTCATTCTCAATTACAAACAAACTATATAGAACCGTTTTTTCTCTATATAAATTGCAGTAAATTTTGAAGATATATTTCCATATTTGACTTTGTACTCTTTGTATTTGTACTCTTCACATAACACTTTTACAATGCTTTGTAAATATGTAAACAAATTACCTGTAAACTATGTCTTGTTTTGGCTGGTGGCCTATGAAGCAATAAAGTATTGTATTGTATTGTATTGAATATGGAGTGGAGTACATAAAAAACTGTTGTGTGGCTGATAGAATGGAAAGAGCCAAATTGCAAAACATATTCCCTTAATATAACATAATGGGTTTAATAATAGGTGACAAAGATGTCTAGTTCAATTTCAACGTTTAAGTATGATTTGGGAAAGACACCATTCGAAGATAGTTTGGGAGATCAGAAAGATCTTGGAAATTATATCAAAAATACAGTACTCTAGTACAATATTTCTTTAAAAAGCTATTCTTATCAAAACCGTTATGGCATGGTTGTTATAGGGAAACCATTCTGTCATGGCTCTATATAATAGCAATTGCCTAGTTCAAGATCACTTACGGCGCACCGTTTCCACTGATGTTGTCTTAACCTAATGTCATTTGTACGCCTTTTTAAAGTGCCAAAACGCCAGATAGACTGCATATATCAGTCTCCATAATTCAGTCTATTTTATTCCTTGATATGATGAAGATATATTATAAAAACCACACCACCCTATCCATCTGGCTTGTCTTTTAATTAATAATATCTTTAAAAAATTATAAAGATAAATTACATATATTGTAAAGTTATATTTTAAAAAACTATATTTTAATAATTTCTTACAGCTGGACATTGCGGACAGATGCTCACGGTAATAAGTGGGACAGCTTGTTATTCTGGCAATCATAAAACGTTGGCAACCATTTATTGTGATACTTCGTATTCCTTTGATTCAGAAACTACATTTACGTGTATTAAGACTGCACATAGCTCATATTGGACACCAAATGCAACAGCAGCGTGTTTATTTACAGGTAGGTAGTTCTTTATAAGAGCGAAAATGTTTTACTCTTGTAGCTATCGTGCATAAAGATTGGAAACACAATGGAAATTAATATAGTCACATATTCATGGTTTCATTGAGACCAGGCGAAAAACTACCATTTAATGAATTATTGTATTTTCTCTATGATGTAACTTGGAAAACTTGTGAGTTAAGGGAAAACTATAGAATTTATCTTCAAAACACAAAGTAAAAGTGACAAACAATAAAAGGAAAAACATGAATAAGACATGAATTTCAAACTATTTTATGTATTTTATGTTTACCTCTATCTTCTTTGACCTCTACATAAAGGGTAATTCAAATATTGATAGTTAAATTATTTTTTTATGTGAAACCAACATACAATTAAAAATACACCACATAGAATGTTCAAGATTTTACAATACACCTTTAAACTTCCTCATTGCGTAGGTATTATTCTGGTTATCCTCATGATCTTGTCATTGACGATTTCGTTAAAAACTTAAATTACTAAACTTATACTTTTAAAAATGTAAGTGTTTTTTTTTCTTAAAAAATGCCGGTCTAAATATTTAAGAATATTAGGAACAAAGATTTGAATTTAATTTTTTTTTATTTATGTCTTTTATTTTTTGATACACTTATGAACTTTTCTGACATTTCTTAATAGCATCCTTATATTCAACAACGACGTTCACACCAAATCTCCTTCTGTCAGAGAGTACCTTGCCTTCTAATGAAATAAGTTCAAGTAAGTGTTTTTGACGCATTTTTATTTGTTTAAAATAAATTCCTCAGTTTTATCATACATATTTGTTGATATAATTAACATACTCGTAGTTATTACTAAAGATATGTCAGTTTGATAGCACCAGTAATTTTCAAAATTAAATGTATGGTGTTTTCCCCCATTTTTTGACAACTTTTGGTGGTTTTTTATCTGACATGCGCCAGATTACTATCACACAAACAATTTGTGTAAATTATAAATATGAATTATCAGGGAAAGGGTTTCAATTAAATATACAATATAATAAAAACAGAGTAAAGCTAACTGTTTTATAATCTATTTGAATTATTATTTTCTTTATAAAACAATAATACATGTAATTGTAAATACCAATGTCTTACAATAATCTCTGTAGGTTTATAACATTAATACAAAACCAATTTAACAATATTATATTCTTAAGAAAGTCAATCAATGCATATAAAATAAGTTTGGCAGTTTTTGGCCATGGCTGTAAAATACATTTGCAATGCACAAGAGAATTTTTTGGTGCTGCGCTGATCCCAAGGGGCAATATGGCAGACCACCATAATTCCGGATGTTCGGAAATTTACATATAAAGAATATGATTGAATGATTGAATGTACATGATTGAATGTACAAACTCTGGAAAATCAGAAGTTATTTTGTTCAGACTGGAGAGCGTTACATAGTAATAAAGTATTCCGGACAATCGGACATTTATATTTTATATTCCGGATAATCGGAAATTTATTTTCATATTCCGGATAATCGGAAATTTATTTTCATATTCCGGATAATCGGAAATTTGTTCATATTCCGGATAATCGGAAATTTATGTATCATTCCGGACAATCGGAAATTTATGTATCATTCCGGACAATCGGAAATTTATGTATCATTCCGGACAATCGGAAATTTATGTTTCATTCCGGACAATCGGAAATTTATATTTCACTTCGGACATTTGGAAAATATATCTTGTTGAAACAGCTACATCCAATCATGTTTAAAATTATAAAAACAATTTTGTTTGCTAAACACCCTTGTACATTGCAAATGCATTAAAAATCTGCGCAAGTGCCTGCTCAAGAAATTGAAAGTAATGGGCTTACTGCATATAGAATTAGAAACAGTATTAAGAAACAAACTGATTAATACGATTACAATTGACAACACTAGCTTTGCTTATCACAAACATTTGTCAAATTAATAATCTCTACACTTAAGTTTTACATATTTACAAATGGATAGACTTGCTTACTGTATTAAGTTACAATTATAATTAAAGAATTGATTAAACATTAATCTTTAACAATATAGTATGTCTACATGTAAGGCATTAAAAAGTTTAAACAATTTTAAATATGCATACAATTAAATGCAAGGGTTTAATTTTCAATGAATCAATGACATAAATAATGTTCACAGTACACAAGAAGTAATGTTCCATGCCATAATTTTCAATTAATGGTATCTAATCAAAATGTACGTATGTAAAGGAAAACTGAATCCTTTGAAAGACATAATAATGTTTCATTACACAAGTTTGAACACTTTCATGTCGTGAACGACTATTTTATCCATTCCATCGATTCTAAGCCCATTGTTGTAAATATCAAACTTTATTATACGAGGCATCCATGTTCCCGCATAATGAGCAGCCACTTTGGAAACGGTTACGACAGCCATGACGAACCCTAAGTTGTGGACAAATCTGAAAATAGACAATAAAAGAAAGCAGCAAAAGACCATAGAAAGGGTGGGTGTGGAGGGAATTTAAAAACTGAGGAAAAAATTTCTGACCTTCCTCCCTAAGTTTCCAGAAATGTCTAGTCGTGAGTACACATAAACTTATGACGTCATATTATAAAGACCGGTAATGAATATCAAATTTTACCTTTAAGGTTAGAGGAGTTATTTCCCCTCCCAGATAACAAATATATCTATGACAAGACTTGATATATATTATATTATCAGGGAAAGGGTTTCAATTAAATATACAATATAATAAAAACAGAGTAAAGCTAACTGTTTTATAATCTATTTGAATTATTATTTTCTTTATAAAATAATAATACATGTAATTGTAAATATCAATGTCTTACAATAATCTCTGTAGGTTTATAACATTAATACAAAACCAATTTAACAATATTATATTCTTAAGAATGTCAATCAATGCATATAAAATAAGTTTGGCAGTTTTTGGCCATGGCTGTAAAATACATTTGCAATGCACAAGAGAATTTTTTGGTGCTGCGCTGATCCCAAGGGGCAATATGGCAGACCACCATAATTCCGGATGTTCGGAAATTTACATATAAAGAATATATATATACATGATTGAATGTACAAACTCTGGAAAATCAGAAGTTATTTTGTTCAGACTGGAGAGCGTTACATAGTAATAAAGTATTCCGGACAATCGGAAATTTATATTTTATATTCCGGATAATCGGAAATTTATATTTCATATTCCGGATAATCGGAAATTTATTTTCATATTCCGGATAATCGGAAATTTATGTATATTCCTGACAATCGGAAATTTATGTATCATTCTGGACAATCGGAAATTTATGTATCATTCTGGACAATCGGAAATTTATGTTTCATTCAGGACAATCGGAAATTTATGTTTCATTCCGGACAATCGGAAATCGGAAATTTATATTTCACTTCGGACATTTGGAAAATATATCTTGTTGAAACAGCTACATCCAATCATGTTTAAAATTATAAAAAACAATTTTGTTTGCTAAACACCCTTGTACATTGCAAATGCATTAAAAATCTGCGCAAGTGCCTGCCAAAAGGCTGGGATTCACATCAGCATGGTGATTTGCATGCAAGCCTCTGCCATACAATACCCCCAAATTGGATGGAGAAAAACTGCGCAGAAAGTGGCAGACATGGCCCCCTTAATAACTACCAACTCATAATAAGAAATATGCTCATGCTAACATGGATACGATACTAGTTCACAATTTAGAATTGACCACAGTCCATTAATTATACTTGTCACAAATATGGAGTTACCAAAGGAAGATAAATGTACTAAATCTCTGAAAAATAGTTGATTTTCAACAATTCTTGGGTAATGTATGTAGCCACCACCATTTGATATGCAAAATTTTGCCATGGTGCTATTGATACGTTTTCTACCTTTATTTAACTTGAAATGATTTTCTTCATTTCGATAATGGAGCCTAGGAAGAATAGCAGACCAAATGATTCTCGTACCTGGTAATAAATGTAATAAATCTGCAAGGCACACCTTTAAAGAATAATTAATGTAGGAAAGACTGGTTTGACCCAAATCATTTCCTCCACAATGAATTAACAAAATATCTGGCACATAATTATGCTCGGTAGCTAATAATTGAATATCATTATAAAGGGGCTGAATTTTTAAGCCTGGTCTATAGCGCCAAACAACGTTTACACCAATTGTATTAAATTGTAAATGTTCACCAAATGTACTGTTACACTTTGCATACTGATGAGCATCTCGTAAAATTGAGGAGCCAACCAACCAAACTGAAAGGCTGGACTGTTCACCTAATATGAAAAAGAATGATAACATGGACTAACTATACTATGGCCTCACATAGAGCTTATACGAGTTTGAGCTCCATCTGCCCATTTTTTTACTTCATCTTCTGAAAAGCCTTGCATAATCCAGTAAGTAGCACCACCAATTCGAAAGGAATGACTTTTGAGTCTAGAACAGTCTATACCTGAATATTTTAAGGTTTTTGCTAAAACAGATCTAAATTGGTAAGGCGTAAGTGGTGAACCATCTAAATGGGAGAGGAATTGGTAGCCAGAGGTGGGACGCACTGCCATATAATTAAGGATTACTTCCTTGAGATGGCCGGACAAATTTCTATCTAATGGAATTTTCACTATGGAACCTCTATGTAATTGATCAGTCTTTGAATGTCTGATATTAAGACACAAGTGTGAATCAGATAAATATACATCTTCTTTACTAATTATGTTAATTTCACTCACTCTCAAGAGAGCATAAAATTCAACCATAAATGCCGCTGTAAATAAAATTGATTCATAATGGGACAAGCAGACAAATTTGAGGTTGTGAACCAGAAGATGTAGCAAATTAATGGTAACTGTCTGTCTAGTGTCCCTACGCCTTTAAGATCTATTCATACCATCAAGAAGTTTGCGGACTAAAAAACATTGAGTGTTATCTGTCAAATTATACAATTTGTTTATGAAACTGATTGCAGATATATGACAATTAACAGTTTTGTATGCATAACCGCTTAATGACATATAAGCTATATAATGAGTAATATGAAATAATGGCGGGGGCCAACTTTTATTATTAAACTGTGAACATCTGAATTTGTCAAAGGTTTGAAGTGCAGAACAGTAAGTTCTATGCGTATTGGCAGACAAAGACTGATCTACAAGATGGTCAATTTTGCTGCACAAAAATGCTGGAAGTCCTGTGGAATTGAAAGTGGAACTTTACAAGCATTATGTGGCAATAAAGATAGTAATCGTAAATATTGCAGACGACTGATGGCATCACAAATACCATTTTCTTTTGACTCGATATGAACTGCTTTAATCTGAATGTTTTGCAGCAACAATTTAAGAACCAACTGTCTCATTAATATCATTACACGATTGTTGCGTGAAGATTTATTGTTAATAATTTGGACAAGACTTTGATTGTCTGTATGAATAATGATTTTTTCCCTTTTAATTTGGAATCCCACAAATAAAATGACAAAACAATTGGGATTAATTCCAAAAAGGTTATGTCTTTGAAAATTTCATCACTCCAGCACTCTGGCCATTTAAAAACTGACCATTCTCCATCTAAATAAGCTCCACAGGCCAAATTTCTATTTCCAGCAGAGTCAGTATATAAATGAAGCTTATTATCGGACACCCAATCAAGGTTGCTGAAAACTGATATACCATTATAATGCTCTAAAAAATGAAGCCACATCATTAAATCCTCTTTGTTTGAGGAAGAAATTCGAATGAAATGATTTGGGCGTTTAGCCTGGGACATTGCTTTGTATAAACCACAATTAAATGTTCGACCTGAAGGAATCACTCTTGTAAAGAAATTTAAAAGACCAACAACAGACTGGAATTTGTTTAGCCTGACCTTTTTCTTATGAATAATTTCATTAATACAATCTTTAGCCTTCTCTATTTTTTCCAGTGGAATACGGACTTCCAATTTGTCTGTATCAAGTATAAAACCTAAATAGGTAAGGACAGTAACTGGACCCTCAGACTTATCTGGATTTAGTGGAATGTTCATGTCATCACAGATATGTTTAAAATCCGACATCAACTTAGAACAGTCTTTAGTTCCAGATTTACCAAAAAAAATAAAATCATCTAGATAATGATCAATGTTAGAAGATTTTGTATAATTTGAAACTGCCCACTGGATAAAGGAAGAAAAACGTTCAAATATTGCACAACTTATTGATGCACCCTGAGGCAGCATTTTTTGTATCCAGTATCTGTTTTTATATTTTATCCCCAACAGTGGGAAATCCTCTGGCCTAATTGGACACAGGTTAAAGGCAGAAGAAATATCTTGTTTACCAAGTTCAGTCCCTTTACCCAATATTTGAATTTTTTCAATAACATTGTCAAACTTGGAGTAATGAACTGAACAATACTTTGAATCAATAAAATCATTAACTCCATTTCCTATAGGATGAGACAGGTTAGTAATCAATCTCCAACCCCCCGATTTTTTGGGGACTAATCCCAGAGGATTGACTCTTAAATTAGAAAATGGTTTTTCATTAAATGGGCCTAAAATCCGACCCAGTTCAACTTCTTTAATTAATTTTTCCTCTAATACCTTTGGAATTAAAATGGCAGATTTTAAGTCTTTTGATTCATAACTAATCTGTTGGCCAGAGTACTGGAATCCAAATCCTTTTCTAAAGCCATTCAAAAGATATTTTTGTTCAGCAACCTCATAACCCTTTAACCATATCTTTAAACGTTTTATGTCAATTGGTGATGTGCCTAACTCCAACAAACGCTCGAGGAGCACTTAATCTTGGGCCTTGTGGTTTAACGACTCTAGGCCTGAAATTATTTAACGGATTTTGCATAGAAGTTGAAGTTCGAATCCCACATGAAATAGCTGAATGGGGACCTCTGCAATTTTTGCAGAGATGCTGATAAGGGCACCCAGACTTTGTACAAAAGCCTTTATTATTAAAGAATAAACATAAGTTATATTTATATAACTGGTTTTGAGGCTGTCTAACATGTGAAGTACCAGTCATTGTAAGCAACCAAAGTTCGCCATCAATAGAGGACCATTTCATATCGGCATGCATAGCTTTTTTCTGCCGAAAAGCTTTATCATAATAAAGCCAGCCAAATGAATTACGTTTTGCAGCTAGGCGGACCATGTGCATGTACTGTATTAACTCCGAGGCAAGAGAGGGACTTTTCATAATAACTATTTGAATATATATTAAAAATGCGTCAGTCCATGAACTTATGTTCTTCATTTCATGTATTTTTGGACTACTGTCTAATACGATATTGCCATTTACAACTTTAATAGACTGAGCCTCTGGTAATGGTTCTTTTTGTAACAGTAATCCTAAATCAATATATTCACCTGACCAGACTTGCTCTTTAATTTTTGTGAAATATGCATACACATATTTGTACAAACAGAATGTAAAGGAAAAAGGTTACCTAAACTATGATCAGCAGGTGTTGCCATAACTGGAAGCTGATCCAAAACATCAGGGTGTGGTTGAAGAACACTAGGACCAGGTGGAGGAAACTGGAAGTCTTGGTTTCTACTTGCTGTTGCATATGAAACAACAGAGCCATGAGCTGTGGGAGGAGGTACCGCACACTGAAATTGCTGATTCCCATTGGAGTATAATGGAGCAGGTACACTACTTGCCAGCGGATCAGATGTATAATTAATTTGTGGAGCAGAAAAGCCAGGTGGAGGAAACTGAAAGTTTTGGTTTCTACTTGCAGTTGCATATGATGCGACAGAGCCATGAGCTGTTGGAGGAGGTACCGCACACTGAAAATGTTGATTCCCACTAGAGTATAATGGAGCAGGTACACTACTTGCCAGCGGATGAGGTGTATAATTAGTATGTGGAGCAGGAACATTAGGCCCAGAAAAAGGGGGGGGGAAGCTGCAGCTGCCCTCCTCCTTTGACGACGTTGATCAACTTGTCCAGCAAGGGGAAGTTTCCTTTTCGGACGAGGCATATTGGCCGTATATGTAAAATAAATTAAAACAGAAATTAAAAGTGGAATGTTCAGCAAATTTAATAAATGTAGCAACATCTTATTTATTGCAATAATTCTTAATTTCATTCATATTATTCAAATTTATTCATTTATAAGTAAATTATTTTATCAATTCTTTTATCAATTAATGTTGAAATTTTAAGAACGGTTCTGAACTAAATCTATGAATATTATAAAAATGTGCATTATGTGGCTTGCACTGCTAAGACACCACGTGGTCTGTGGATTCTAAGGAATTCTATAAAAATTCCTTTAGTTACTAGCATTTACTTTCATTCGAATAAATTTGTTGATAAAATTTTTAAAATATATGTTATTATAATACGATGCACTTAAACAGTGAAATATGGCTGCCACGCCATTGCCACTTCTACCCCACGTGCTTCGACGGGAAAATGAGAATAAATAGCAATTTAGCGATAAAAGAAGAAAAATTACTGGATATAATTCGGGCAACGTAACGTTCAAGATATTCTAAAGTAATTAATACCCGAATAAGACAATAAAAGAAACTTGTAATTAACTTTAAGAAATTTAAAAACTGAGGAAAAAATTTCTGACCTTCCTCCCTGAGTTTCCAGAAATGTCTAGTCGTGAGTACACATAAACTTATGACGTCATATTATAAAGACCGGTAATGGATATCAAATTTTACCTTTAAGGTTAGAGGAGTTATTTCCCCTCCCAGATAACAAATATATCTAAAGACAAGACTTGATATATTGTTGTAACTATTATTGTAAATAGTTAGAAAATTGCTATGCATGTAAGGCTAAAGGAACTTGAATTTTGTAGCACAAATGAGTGTGGTATGTGATGTCTGACAGTCTTATCATTTATAGTTAAGAAATATCCTTGATTTCCATCAAATAATAGATAAATACAGAAGTTATATTTTCAGTGTGTTTGACTCAAAATACTTGTATGCATTTTTTAAAGTCTCATATGAAGATTTTTAAAAAATTGGGTTTATCTCACTTTTTTTTAAGTAGAAATTTACAGTATATAGTGCATGCAATTTTAAAGTATCTACGACAAAATAACGGAATTCAAATTTAAGGAAAGGAAAGTGCACACTTGTAGCATATCCAATCTATCCTAACTTCAATATTTTATATCCTCACTGTTATTTGTTACGGGTATTAATATAAGCCACGAGGGTAGTTTAATAGACATGACATTCAATAAAAGAAGTATGTACAACATAAGATATAAAAATAATAGATAATTATGTAAGAACATAGAAAAAATCAACAACAACACGTATTATCTTCATAATTCATTAAAATGTGGTCTATATTTTAGTTATTTAATTATTGAAAGGAGGAAAGTGATCTATTTAATCCAGCATTAATCTTAATAAAACCAGGCATAAAAGTCATATATTAAAGTTTAATTGTACTTTTTTTTCTTTTAATATATATCTTTATGAAAGGACAAACATTTACTAACATTTCTTTATTTGATATAGCAAAGACCCCGACAAGTTTGTTCACTTTGAAAGTCTTGTCGTCGGAGAATACCTTGTTTTCGACAGTCATTAGTTCAGGTATATCACATTTACATGTTGTTATTTTTTTGTAGAATAAATATATACATGTATATTTGTATTATACTTTATTTGAGATGCTTCATCGAGCGAATGATTTTCCAGTTAAATTGTGTTGTAACAAAAATAAATTCAATTTTGTAAATATTTCGGTGGTTTTCAACTCCCTAATCGTAACCACAACCTTTAAAGATTCAATATTTTATTGAGGCACAAACATAATGTCTATAGCCATAAACAGTAATGGTGTGTTTACTTACTTATAAACAATTGCATAAACATCTAAATACGAGAAAAGTAATTTAAATGGAATATTTTTGTTCACAGTCTGCTTCCAATTTAGCCTTTATCAAGTCGACTTCTGTTAAAAATTCATTAGAAGTGATAAATGTTTTGTTACATTTTTACACAATACCATCGGCTAAAAAGATGATACAGAAACGCCTCCATTGACTACACACACAATGATGCCTCACACAGAAACAATGGCAAGCAGCTCCGATGTTCAGATAGAAACATCAACTGTTTACCAAGCTACAACCTCTTTCAGACATTCCTCAGTACCCTCATCAACAATAACTGCTTCTTCAGTCTTAGGTACTACATGTGTTTTTTTTATTCAGTGAACAATGCATTTCGCAGACACTCGTATTAATACCGTTTTTGTCGCCGTTTCAATGGGTGCATTTAGTATTGAAATGGCGTTACCATTCTATAATTGGATAACACATTGTATCTGGCTTGTACGAACGTCCGTTCTTACGTATGAATATTTGAAGTTGAAGATTTAATTATCATGAAGTTTAACATACAGTATACAGTAGTAAATTTTATCAGACATACTATGTTTCTGTTGTTATGGTTGAATTACTTTCATATTTAACATTAAAAATGCAATTATACATTTATTTTCTTCCATAGAATTTAAAGGTTTTCTAGACATACTGTGATATCATAAGCATCAAAATTTTAAGTAAGATCTCAAGTAAGGTCGTTGAAAAATACTTTAAAGTTTTAGTTTGATCTTTTTTCTATGTTTTTTTTCTAAGAAGTTCTCAATCAAAATATAATACAACCTTGTTCAAGCAAACAGAGGGGTCAACTTTCAATAATTTACTATATAATCAATTTATTGTTTTTTTTCTAATAACACATGAATTATTTATGACTTAGAAATATTTCCCCTTCCAGTAACACCAAACCCAGCACCATCACGTAAAGTAAAAGACGCAGGTATGTACATTTCTTTAAAATTTCTGTTCTATTCTGGTATAAACATGTTGTGCATACAAAGTGTGTTATGTTAACTGTTCACATTTGAGTATTTTCTTGGTAAAGATAACGATATTTTTCTCTTTCAAAATTCTTCTAAATTTGAGTGTACAATAGAAAGATTCACTAAACATTTGATATAGTTCATTTTAGGATGCTGCAAATATGTGATTATCAAAATTACGCACTGCTTCTATAGAATTTGCATGCTGTATACATAGAAATACTTCAACCGCTGTAATCTCTTAGTCTCTTTAAAACTTATGAATAGTATACTCGTGATAGACGTCAAATTGTGTTCAATTCAAAATTTCATCATATAATCACAAGAAATAACGTTACGTGTATACTAGGAATACAGAAATAACAAACACGGTAATTGTATTGATAATAATTTCTCTTAAAGTTAATTCAACTGTCGTGAACGTGATATTTCTTTTGTTTTTGTACATGAGGACGATTACAGTTGTAAAGCATATATTTACTTAAGCACATTTATTTTCAGATATAAACGCTGTATATGTTGCTGTTCCAGTGGTTGTATGTGTTATTGCGTTGTTATTAGGAGTTGGTATCTTATGGTGGAGGTAGGTATTGTTTTAAATTCATAAATTGTTGTATAAATTCATAATTGAAAACTTTTCATTTATTATTTCATCCATTATATCATCAAACAATTAATCATTTTAAAATTACAGACTTCGTTTCGGCCAATATAGAATATTTTGGACCTGAGAAAAGTTATAACAACCGAGATTCCTCCACAGGTCCTCGATCGATATAACTTTTCTGAAGTTCGATAAAATGTAGATCTATATTTAACCAATTGTTATATCGTGTATACCACTAGTTATATCGCGGGATGCGTTTATCTTAGTTTCGAAAGACCTAAATAACCGTCATAATTGTAAGTTTATTTCTTATCCATAAAAATTATGAACGATAAGCGACATTATGCATTTAGAGATGTTGGGGTTTATCTATTGTTTATTGGTGAAATGTATAAGTTTACAGTCATAATTTTTATTGATGTTTGTAAGAATAGCATGTTGTAAATGCATCTTTTTTGAACTCGTAAAGTCTATGCTTAGCAGCCAATCATCGCTTTCAGGGAAAGTATCCGATATAAAGTTCTATAAATAACTTATATTATTCTATAAAAATAACTGTACAAATTGACCACAAAGAATTAACAAGTTAAGGTCAAATGTAATTTAAGCGCTAAACATTATCAATATAAGATGTCATGTCTGATTTATATGTCGTAAACATAGGAACGTACATGTTTGTTTATTTCAGTTCTTAAAAATACATTTTTATTTGAATTCCATTTTGGTCTTTTGATGGAAGCTATTTATTTTATCATAAAACTGAATTTTAATCCTTGTTTTTTTTACAGAAGAAGGAATCATAAACCTACAGCTTTATTTGAAAGGCGCGAACCTGGCTCTTTAATAACAAACCAAGTATACGGAGCGAATGGCATAGACAGAAATTGTTCTTTAATGAATGTGCGTCAATCAAGAGTGAATGAGTACGCAGAAATACCTTTAGACATAATGAATTCAGATGAAACCGTAGGAGATACTTATCAAACAATAGACATCTTTACCTGAGAGTCAAGATCTGGCGAAGAAATCGTTAGTGAGTAACTTTCCAGATGATTATCAGAGACGGAATTATTGATACAAACTACTTCTTCATATCGTGTAAGTAAACAGTAATCGCAAAATAATACTCACGCTGATAAAACAGTGACTCGTGCGAGTAGCGAGCAGATTGGAATGTGACAGCCAGAGAATCCGTGAAATGTGAGAAGCTATCAAGAGTTGATGGATACGATATGAACCAAGTTAAAACCACAACAACCATACGCAGAAAGAAGATGTCAAGATACAGAAAGCCTCAAGACACCGGAGTACAGCCCATGCTCATGCTGACGCAACGACCTGCAAATTACGGAGGACTGATAATTATTCACATCTGAACACAAATATGCGAACACCCGGAGCGTCTACTGGAAAACCGAAACACCAATTTGAAGATGGAATGAAAAATAAGAATAGCAACATTCGACAGCTATCTGCTGAGGACCTTCCATCAAATACAGGCTATGAATTTGCGAAAGATTTTGACAATCTGCAAAATAGAAGTGAAGCACCTGAGAACGCCAAGGTAACAAAAAAGAAAAAGAAACCTGCTTTTAACGAAGCTCATAATGCAGGTAAAGGTTACGAAACGGCTGTCGGTACAACACATAACTATCTTACTTTAGAACCAGAACAAAATCCTGCACCAACTGCTGCATTGTTTCAAGTTGTTGAAGACGTGTCCGAGGAGACTGACGGAATGTCCGAGGCAGAAACTGGGCATGAATATTTCACATTAGAAAAACAAGATATGTAACCTATAATAGCGTACCACATACTTTGTTTGATATACATCGTATATTTTAGATAATTTAAACGCAAGCGTAAATAACGTTAATCATATTCCTGTTTATCCAGAAAGACATTAACAATAAGTATATAGTCGAATAGAAACAGATGGACATGCTATTAATGTATTTATTCGTTTAACAATACATTGTACACGATGTATAACTTTTGTTATATAAAAGGAAATAATAAATAACTCATAATGAATAAGTGGAATTTATTGCATAATACTGAAACGATAAAGTAATTTTGAATATTCCGTCACATTTTGAGGAGGCTTAACTTAAGATTTTTTATACATGTATTTAATACTACAAGCGCGCTAAATGTCAATAGTATTACACTTCCGAGAGCGACTTGTCCAATATAGTTTTGACAGCTGTATACTCGTTCAAGAAAATTCAATTTTGTACTCAAAAAATGTATAATGACCTCATATCACATGTTCTACCATAAAATCGTAGTAATATTTTATAAACTTGACGACATTCTGGCGTTTTGTTATGTAATTTGCTTTTAAATAAATCATACGTTTCATCGGTTGAAAATCTTTTCTATTTATACATATAATTTTACCCGGGCCATTGTAATTCAGAATAAAAAAGAATTTGGGTAACTGTTATCAAATAATCAAGGAAAATAATGTGTATTGGACTCATAAATATAGGTTTTCAGTTATGAGATACATTGAATTCATGAAAAAGAGCAAAACAAAATATGCGAAAGACATGCTCAAGGTCGATCGCTCGATTAATAAATAAACTGCTAGTCGGCAATCAGCCATTCAACCAGCTCCATTTGTAGTCAGTTAGTCAATCAATAGCTGACCATAGTAAATATCAAATATTAACAGGCAAGTCATTTTAAATTTATTCCTAAGGATAAAGTAATTAGTAGAACAGAAGATGAATAAGTCGTTAGATATAAGATGAAGTAATTACTAAATATTAATTAAAGTAATTTTAAGATAAAAGATGAAGTTATTATTAAGATACTAGATGTAATAATAATTAGATATAAGATGAAGAAATTAATAAATCTATATGACATGAAGAAAGAAATTATTAAATAAAACGTGAGTTAATTGTTAAACGTAAAAATAAGTTATTGATAAGCATAAGAAGTAATTGTTAGATATAAGAAGTAAATCTTAGGTATGATATAAAGAAATTGATAGCTATAAGATGAAGTGATTACTACTACTAATAATAAAAAAAAACATAAAGAAATTACATTTTTGTCCAAACTCAGCAATTGACGTTGATCTGATTACTATACACATTAAAGGAAGGAAATATGCACACACACTTCACATTCACTTTCATACTCGTAAAGATAAAATTCATTTTATAGCTTTAACTTTCCTCACATTACCAATGTAAACGTGATTATGTTGATATGTTTTCCGACAGTTAGTATCAGATTTGAATGTTCAAGGATATTCAATATATGTTAGCTGTAACAATTACGATGTTTACCAAACATAAAATATCGCTGTATTCATGCCGTTGTTATGGTTATTAAAATCACTTATACTTAAATTACAACATCTCCTTACCATTACAAAACTTCCTTGTTTAAATATGTTAAGATATTTTAATAGAGGATCACAATAAATTAAGTAATATGGATGGGTTAATTCTTTCGTTAACGCTGTTTATCGCTATTGTATGGGGTAAGTAATAATACACACGTCAAAAGAATAAAATTTAAGTACGAAATATATTCGTATGTACTTTCAGTGAATATATGATACTACATGTATTTTGTTCATATCAATAATTGATTTTATTTTAAACTTTATATGACATAATCATTTAAATTTAAAATTTTCGTAAATTTATTGCCGTCTTATTTCTTATAAGTTTAGCGCGGAGGAAGGTAGTCTAGTACTGGTGTAACTCTCCAGGAACAATCACGTGCCGTTAATTAATCAAATTATCGGTCTTATATGTATGTGTTAATTCAGTGACAAGTAATTGGATTAACACCGGCGCGTGCCGATACTAATCCGATTATCGCTCATTATGGTAAGGAAACTACCCGCCTATATGACTGAAATACTGTTGGAAAAAGGCGTAAAATGAAACAAACAAACAAACAAACAAACAATTTCTTATAAGTACAGGTCTTATTTACTATTGCAATGATAAGATGTGTTATCATAATAATGATGATAACATTTACTTCTTATATCTAACAATTACTTCTTATACTTATCAATAACTTATTTTACGTTAAACAATTAACTCACGTTGCATTCAGAAAAAGACTGAAAGCACACCTCTTTGAACAATTTTATAGATAAACAGTTTCGTCAAATGTGTATATAGTTTTAAACTGTGGAAATGACTTTGACATTATAGGATCTTGTGAAGCGCAACAGAATATAACTGTATAAAGTGTCGCGCTATAAACATACCTATGATTGATTGATTGATTGATTGATAATCCTAGCACTGGCTTTAGGTACATTCTTTGAGTGGATCTCTTATCGTGTGACCATCACAATATAGGGGCATATGTGACCGAGTGATTAAGTTCATTAACAGCAAAATTTGCTCCACACCGTTATTGGTTCGAAACACGCTAAGACTTTGGATAATGTGAGAATCCTTTCATTTAGCTTACGGAACATCGGTGGTTCTTCTCTGGTACAGGTACATGCCTGAAATAATGCGTCGATGGACACTTGAGGTTTTTTATTCACAGCCACTTTATAACTTTAACTGTGTTTGGCCAACGTAAACCCAACCAAAAACACATCATAATATTGGCGTTCGGTTCAAAATATGAAAGTAAAGTCAGATGAAAGAGATCAAAGTTCAATGAATATGTATACATTATAACTCAATATCCTGCCACACATGGTCAATAAAGATAGGCCTCTAAATAACGGGCTGTTTTTAAGAACTTTGACTTCATTGTGAACAATAAAAGATATACATATATTTAAGAAACATTCATTTACAAATTTAGGAAAAATGAGGATATTTGAGAATACATCTTTATTGAATAATTACAAGAGATATTATATGCTTTGTTGATGGTGAAGAAATAGTGTTCGGTTTCAAAAGAATAGAATGCACTTCCGCATTTAAATCTATAATACGTCCTAATTAACGCCAATAACTTTGTTTTGAAAATTAAAGATGAACTATCCAAAGTTACACTCATTAGATACAAGCATGGGAAAGAAATAATTAATACGGTGTCGTTTGTGGGCCATTTAAAATATCGCCTGTTGACATGCTAGATTTTAAATTATCTTTTTTTGTCGCCCTTTTCATTTCATTTTAATATATAAAGTACCGTCGCGAAAATGTAGATGTTTGTATATTTATATTGTTGAAATAAAAAGTGCAGTATAACAGATCTAGTACAAAATCTCGTTTGGAACATGTGTTATTCTAATTGGCTTCAAACATGTAGATGTTGTAGATTTCACGCCTGGTGAACAACACAGCTACCTCTGTCGGATGTATACAATTAAGTGCTCTATCGCTACTTCCAAGCTTTTGTATGAAGTCAACTAAACTACAATATTGTCTTATTATATTTCCTTTGTAAACTCTGCATCGAACATCGAAAATCGCAGAGTGCTATATCATGTAGATTTGATTAAATTTCAAGGGTATGTAAATTAATAATTTTTATCTAAACCATAGTTGTGCCAGCATATCCCATGTAACAAATTTAGCGTTGAAATGGACTTTTTTTAATCATGAAAGAATTGCTTATGACTCATTTAACAGCAACTCAGACTATAAACGAATACTAGAATGCAATTAAAATCTAAATCTGAACCAAAATTTAGTTTTTGAATTTAATAAGTTATGTATATGATACTGAATCTTCGAGACTGCTCTGTCGTGAAGGAGGTAGTTATATCGCCAAGGAGAAAGCTCTATAGTTAAAGGTCTATATAATTTGTATTTGTATTATACTATTCTGTAATTTCTTAACTGTTATTTGTTGTATTCTCTATTTACTTCCTTACCTTAAATCTGTAATAGAATAAATACTAGAATAATGTGATCTGAAGTCACATATGGTAGTATTTTATAAACATGGACATATACAAATGCAGGTGATTTCAGCATTGTTTGTATGTGCTAGAGGAGGGTCATTATAACATTATAGAGAAGGGGGTCAAAAATAATATGTATTGGACGTTGTCGGTCCTAAAGATTTAAAGGAAATTGGTACAACGCGTGAAGAAACAAAGTTACCGTTTTACCGCCTGTCTAAATTCATACTATGTTTGTTCATACAGTGAAACTTGGTAACAAGTTCCTCGTTCGGAAAATGGCATTTAGTTTGCTTTATCCGAGGATTCTTATAAACAATACATGTATAAGAAAACAGTATCATATAGATAATAAAAAGTTTACATGTTCGACGATTTGATAGATATAACTGTTACTTATTCTTACCATTAATTTATAGTCAAATTATACGTTTATATACTCGTACTTACAAATTCAGAGTTATGTATGTATGTTTTCAAAAAATATTAATATTAATTACAATACGATACTAGTTTATAAGCACCATTCTTGTAACATTATCTATTTTGAAGTCATATGCTGCTTCCGGTTTTGCCGCTTTAAGACGCATACATGTAGGTTTACTTTTTGTACTTATTTTTCTATCTCTCTGAGAATTGCAAATTTGTTTCTAATGTTAACGCCTAGCGTTTTCTGTCTGCCAAGGTTTTACACAAAGTGGGCAAACATAGGACAAATATTGAAGTTATAAACCTTGACCATTTTATTTACATAAAACGAGCGCATAATAAACGCAGGAAATTCAGGAAAATCAACAATACAAAATAACAACAATAATGAACAATAAATAATGGTTTGCCGAAAATAATGCAATCAAATTTGAAACATTTATTTTTATACACAAATGAGGTAAGTTACTTTTGAAGGGGTTCCTTAACGTCCTGGTCAGGCAAACACTTAAAATCTAAAAAAAAAACCTATTTGGCTTTCAAATTAATAAGTCTAAGTTCAAACTTTGTTCTATGTATAAATTCGAATCGAAATGCGGACTAGACATTTAGACATGAGTTTGAGGTTAAGAAATACCTTAATATCATTTTGAAAATAAACACCGAATAGCATTTACTAGATTCTGAACCTTGTCATATATATACTTTAGTATTGAACCGGAAAATATATTCAGAGGGAAGATGCTCAATCCTTCTCCATGCATTTAAAGTACATTATCTTCAAGTATTTAATAAATATTGATAATCATGCAAAGACTCTTCTGTTAATTAACCACGTCCCCTTTGTACATGTATACTGCGCATGCTAAACCATTGTAAAATGTTTAATGCTGAGTGAACTATTGTATTATATTATATTCTTTGAAAACAAGATTAGCAATAGTTTTTTTTTTAATTTTAGTTGTTATATGAATATGAATTGAGAAGAGATGTAACTCTGTAAGTTACGTAGATATTCCTTGCAGAGTTGCCTCCCTTTCAATATCTTAGGAGACCTAAAAATGAAACACTTTTGTAGTTCAGTGTGGCCAGAAACACAAAACCAAATATTTCAAAATATTTTTCACAGGCAGATAGCCAGATGCACAACATTATTCAAGGTTATATGACATACATTGAAGAATATAATAATTTGCATGCATTGCTCCTAAAAAAAAGTGACTTACAGCAATTTATATTTACCCCCACCCAACAAAAAATCACACCTGAAATATATTAATACGGGACACCTTCATGAAGGTGTAGTATACTCCAGAATTCGCCAGATTCCTTAAAAAATATATCTAACACACAGTGCAATCAACGGCATTTTCAAAAATGTCCAAGAAACTGTCGGTCATACGTATAAATTTTCCACATAATATATATCCAAGGTTTATTACTTGTTTGGCGCCAACTGTCAAAGCTTGATTTTTAACTTTTTTAGTTCCATTCGGAAATTCAAAAATCCATACAAAGCTATTAAATGCTTAGTTTCGGGTAAAACCCTAAAACAGTGCTAAGTTCCTACACACAAATAAGAAAGAATTGCAGTGACAGAGAAAATATCAAAGGTTTCCAGTACCCTCAAAACACCATGTCTGAGTTATTAAACAATTGTCCGGGCCATCATAAGGATATGTCCCCTGCCTCCTTACAGTCTCTTGTAATTCTGGAAGACTTTTAATTTGTTAAATTATGCAATTGAATTGTTTTATGTTGTTATGTAAGGATGAGACTCAAATAAAGATTACAACAGAACAGAACATTTATTTTAGATTTAAGCATTAAAGCTTATCATCATCAACCATTAAAGATCCTGTATTGATGGTATTGATTGTAATTGATGTTGTTACCATACTTTAGTGAAATTTTATATATGTATACAATTATGCCAATAAAACAATTTTCAAACATCGAAGAATATGTAAAATATGTATTTCAAATATTGGTGCACATTATGTGTAATCATTAAAATATATGCATTCATTTCTTATTGGACTTTATAGAAAATAAATTTCTGTTAAAAACTTTATTATTTCTCTTTATTTACACGAAATGATATATTCGGTAATATCTTTATAAATTATGCTTTTTGGAACATAAAATATTGATAAATCATCTTAATTCCAGCATCATATACATGATATAAAACCATAAACATTACAGGATCATTA